TTAGTTACACTATCTTTGGAAAATCTGCAATCATCCAAGGTTTCTTGCACGCAACTGACCATTTCAAGAAAATACTCCAGAATCTTAGACTGGTCATAGATTGTGGCCAGAAATAAAAGATTTCGGTTTTTTTCATCCACGATGCTCAGGTCCAGCTTCTGGCTTCTGACCAGATAATCCAAAACATCGGCGTATCCCCACTGGACGGCCTGCAGAGCTCTTAGGAGGAGAAAAGCAAAGACGTGAATAGCCTAAATCATTTGCAAAAGGACCAGCAACGAAGACATTTCAAAGTTGATACAAGTGATTCCTTCAAGGAAGAAGTAAAATCGCCCAGCTTTAGGAATTGCAAACATCTGGCCTCTAACCCCCTCCAGTGGTGTGAACCAGCAATTCCATCATCCGCTTCAAGACACAATTTTGTTGTATGCATACCTTATTTCTATTTGAAAAGATCTCTGCTTATCCAGAAGCCTCTTTTGTTAAACTGTGTTCTAATCAGATTTGACAGCAGCTGAAGGAATCTGCTCTCTAGCAAAAGACTCCACATCCAATGTAAATATTTTACTTTTAAAAGTAAAAAAAAAAGCCTCTGATGTTACGCGGCTCAGCTGGGATCGTCAGAGCCTTTTAAAAGCATTTTTTCTACAACCTCAAGAGGTTGTAGAAAAAAATGCTTTTAAAAGAAAAAAAAAGCCTCTGACGATCAGGCAACTCAGCTGGATCGTCAGAGCCTTTAAAAGCATTTTTTTTTACAACCTCTTCAGCCGAAGAGGTTGTAGAAAAAAAATGCCTTTAAAAGCCTCTGACGATTCCAGCTGAGTTGCCTGATCGTCAGAGGCTTTTAAAAGCATTTTTTTCTGCAACCTCTTACATTATGACTGCACAGTTCAAAGCTATGGCAATCTTGGAAAAAGTGACGTGTTACTTGTACTCACACTTACGACCCGTCGTACCATCCCCACAATCATGTGATTGCAATTTGAGCACTTGGCAACCAGCTTACATTTACGGCCAGTTGTAGCATTCTGCAGTCACGTGATAGCAACTGGCGAGGTTTTTTTTTTGCTGATTTCTGGCAAAAAAATCCTCCATTGGGGTAGCTGGTTTCTTTGAACAACTTGTGTGATTCGTTTAAAGCTGGGTCTGACTCGCTTACGATGGCAACAACCTACAATGGAAGTTCCCGTCCCACTTGTGGTCTTAAGTCAAGGATTCCTTGCAAAAAATGTATATTGTTAAGGAGATTTTATGGCTGTCAATATCTTTACCTTTCTTTCATGACTTCACTAGTTTCTTGTTTGGGAGCAGGACTAGGACTCTTGATGGCTGCTTCACAAGAGAGTTGGGTACTGACCAACGCCTTATAGAACTGAATTTCAAAATTAGGAAACTTAGTATGTGAACGTGCAAATTAACTAGCTCCAAATCTCTCTAATTCATCAACATTTAAAAAGAAATTATTATGGTAAGAAAAGCATATACAATCACAGCTGGGACAGTTATTCATAAAAAGAAGAGAATATCTGTAGCTCAGAGTTGAACCGTGGGGCCCTTCGTTTTCTTGCAGACATTTCATTGCCCCACTAGGTACTGTATTTTTCAGAGTATAAGACACTCCGGACTATAAGACGCACCTAACTAATCAAGGAAAAAAAATCTGCCTCTGCCTCTCAGCAATTTGCCTCCTTGCAGCAATCAGCAAACAGCCTGCTTTAGTTTCATTTTCATTTTCAGCAAAGCCTGATTAGCACAAGAAAACATTTTTTACCTCCCAGCAATTTGCCTCCTTGCAGCAAACAGCGGAGGCCCGCGCGGCAATAGGCCATGGCAATCCCTGCAGTCTGAAACAGCTGACAGTTGGGAGGCTGATCCAACCGACAATCAGCTGCTTCTGCTAATCAGGCTGTGCTCAAGCTGAAACAGGCTGTTTGCTGCAAGGTGGTAAATTGCTGAGGCCAGCGGGTAGGGGCCAGCGGGTGGGTGGGACTACATTCGGTGTATAAGACGCAGCCAAATTTTCATCCTCTTTTGGGGGGGGGAAGTGTGTCTTATACTCCGAAAAATACGGTAACTTCATCAGTGCTAGAAGGGAGTAGGGTTTGCTCTCTGTTTATTACCCCTTCTAGCACTGATAGCATTACTTAGTTGGGTAAAATTTACCCAATTTAGTTGGGAGAAAGAGCCTTGGTGGAGCAGCGGACTAAAGCTGCTTACTTAATGTTCGTTTTCTAGGGTGTTCTTAAACCACACTGTATATCCAGTCTCAGCACATGGACAACATTAAAAACAACAACATATAAGCAGGGGTGGGCTTCAAAAATTTTAGCAAGGGGTTCTCTGCCCGGTTGCTGGGTGAGTGTGACCATGGTGGGCGTGGCCTAGTTGGCCTCCTGCACCACCTGGGGGGGGGCGGTTGTCCTCCCCGGGCTCCAGAGGCTTTCCTTGAGCCTCTGGGAGGGCGAAAACGGCCTCTCCAGGCTCCAGAGGCTGGAAACAGGCCCATTTCTGGCGTTTCCGAACTTCTGGTAGGGCCGTTTTTTGCCCTCCCTGAACCTCCACATGCACCCTGCATATCTGCATCCAAAATGGGCCGTGTGGGGACTCCTGGGAGGGGCGGGGTGGGAGGGGTGGGGCCAGCCAGAAGTGGGATTTGGGGGTTCTCCGAACTGCACAGAATCTTAGCTAGAGGTTCTCCCGAACCCTTGCAAACCCCCAGCAGCCCCACCCCTGCATATAAGCCAGTTTGCAATCCTTTTCTCCTCCTGCCCCCATTTCCCACCTGGGTTGTTTACCTTGACCATAGCGTGCCAGAGATTCGCAAGGGCAAATTCTCGTATAGCGAGCAGCCACTGAGTGATCTGAGGATTTTTGCTCGGATACTGGATGTTGGAAAGCATTTCCCTGTATCCGGATGTGTTGGGCGAAGACATGAGGTTCAAGTAATCTAGGAAAATGTAGGGGTGCTGATGGCTGGCCAGCCCCATTGGATATTCGCTCAGGGCAACCAACAAGATGGAACTCAACTCGGAAGGCTGAAGGCCCTTGGAGTCCAATCCTTCTAGGAACGCAAGATGGACGTCATCTTCGATCACCCCCAGTTCCAGTTCCAACAACTGTTGCTTCTGGTCGTTTTGGAGTTCAGACAGCCAGAAGTGTGCAAATTGTACAAAGTTTTCCCTGGAGGAGCTCCACTTGCCCAGCTCGCTAAGGACCCCTTGAGCCTTCTCTTGCCAACCTGTTACCGAGGTGCTATCGAAGTACCTGAAGATCTTCTCCAAGAGCTGGTTTTCTGGTAGGAAATGCAGGTTGAGGGACTCCTTGGAAGACACGACTCCGTTGGTCACCTGGCTCAGGTTGGGCAGGACTTTTTTACCAATATGGGGGAGGGGGACAGCGTTGAAGAGAGGGCAGTTCCTGATCTTTAGGGAGAAGAATTCCTTTTGCAAATGGTTGTTGCTGGCCTGGGAGTGAGCCATTAAGGTGCGGATATTTGGAAGGTGAAGGATCTCTTGTGGCTGATCCAAGCTACTTTCCTGCAGCTGCTGTCCCAGCTCCTCTTCCTGGGCCATAGTCAGAACAGAGAGGTCTGTCACTCGGTCCTCGACGCTCTGCATGGTCGTGAAGCCCAGGATACGGTGAGCGGCCTTCCTTGGCAACGTAAGTCACAATTTAATGGATCTCAATATGAACCTGCGATAAAGCAAAAAATAACAGGAAAATACAGGCAAGTCAACAAAAGTTGGACAAGAACAGAGGTGCTATTCAGCCGGTTCAGATCGGTTCGACCGAACCGGCAGTGGAAATCGCAGGTAGGCCTGCCCCCCCCCCACCTATCCGTCCCAGCTCTATGCCATCCTATTTAGACATGTTTTTGAGGCCGGGCACACGCGTGGAAGGCATGTGCAAGACTAAAGCGCACGCGCGGAAGGCCAGGCACACGCGCAAAAGGCAGGGACGCACACGAACCGGGCATACGCACGAATGAAGTGAGTGGGCACACGCGCAGTGAACCGGTAGTAACATAATCTGAAACCCACTGCTGGACAAGAACCAACTGTTGGAAAGGGAAGCAGTATGCTCCTATTCCATATTTGGGTAGACCAGGTTATCCTGATAGAAAAAAACAATTTCTCCCCTGGTACAACTGACAAAGTGAGGAGAACCTGTAGCTTAACAGGGTTCGGCAACCTTAAACACTCAAAGAGCCACAAAGGTCCTAACCGGAAGCCCCCATTCAATTCTGGAGCCGACCGGAAGTCCGGTTCCCCCATCATAGTCTCCTCCTAGCGCAGCGTCTTTTTTCCTCTGCCGACTGGAAGTCGGTTCCCCCACCATAGAGTCTCCTCCTAGCACGGCATCCGTTTTCCCCTGCTGACCGGAAGTCCGGTTCCCCCATCATAGAGTCTCCTCCTAGCACAGCGTCCTTTTTCCTCTGCTGACCGGAAGTCCTATTCCCCCACCATAGAGTCTCCTCCTAGCACGGCATCTTTTTTCCTCTACCTGTCCTAACTGAAAGCTCTATCAATTGTGGAGCCGACCAGCAACAGGGAGCCACAGCAGAGGGATGAAAGAGCCACATGCGGCTCCAGAGCAGCAGGTTGCTGACCCCCTGGCTTAGAGGTTAATACATCTACCTAATATGCAAGCAGCCCAAGTTCGAATCCCAGAAGGGTATGGCTAGCTGATGAGAGCTAAATAGCTTGAAATAGATCTATACTAGTCCCCCTTTATTTCTTTGTCAGTAAATATAAATTTAACACAGAAATAGATTGTCGCGAAAGCTCCCAGATTGGGGCTGAAAGGGGAAAGTGGAAGCAGTATGGCTCCTTCCTATACTGCCCTGATAGAAAAAACACACAACAGTTGGAAACTTTACAGAAGATCCAAACTTACAATAAGGAAGAAATTCCTGGCTTTAAGCAGTTGGCTTCCTGCAGTGGCAGAGGCTCCATCGCTGGAGATTTTTCAAGCAAAGATTGAAAGACATTTGTATGCGATGTTTTGGGAATTCCTGCCCTACGGAATCATAAGGTTGGGAGTTTGGAGATCTTCTGGTTTTTCAAGATCCCTTCCGACCTTCGAATTTCTACGTTTCTCAATCTAACATAGATCGAATGTTTATTGGAAGGGACTTTGGAGGTCTTCCAATACAACCTCCTGCTTAAGCAGTAAACCCTATATCCGTATGGTGAACTATGGCACACGTGCCAGAGTCCTCTCTGTGGGCATACATGCCGTCACCCGCTGCTCTTCTGGTTTCCTGCTCCACCTGGTCTTCGTGGGCACCGGAGCACCAGAAAACGGCCTGAAAACGGCCAAAAATCAGGCCATTTTCTGGGCTGTTTTTCAGCCGTTTTCAAGCCGTTTTTGGGCCAAAAAACAGCCTGAAAACAGCCCGAAAAATGGGCAAAAACAGGCCATTTTCTGGGCTGTTTTTCAGCCATTTTCAAGCCGTTTTTGGGCCGAAAAACAGCCTGAAAACAGCTTGAAAAATGGGCAAAAAACAGGCCATTTTCTGGGCTGTTTTTCAGCCATTTTCAAGCCATTTTCGGGCCAAAAAACAGCCTGAAAACAGCCTGAAAAATGGGCAAAAAACAGGTTTGGGCACTCATTGCTGAAAAGTTCACCATCACTGCCCTAAACCATTTCGGAAAGATGGTTGTCCAATCCCTTCTTAAACAATGTATATTTTTGGAATTATAGAAGGACTCCGTAAAAGCTTGGTGTGAAATGAGAATCTCTTTATTATATAACACGGAAGTTTTCTGCGCCATTTCTATCAGGCAGAACCGTACCCTTAAGCGGCTCCTGCCTCATTTTGAAGTCCATAGAACAAGTGTTTTGACACTTCAAAGACTTACATTGCTCGATCTTTAGTGTCTCGTTCCTTCGCTTTCCTTCTACAACTAGGTTACTGCCGCTTAACCCTTTGGCCTTTGAAGTTCAGTCTTGTACATCGCTTGCCCATCCTCCAGCAAATGAAATAGCAGAATATTTATTAGGCAACAATCCCTCATTCCGACCAGTAAGACGTCAGGAAGCACTCTATGATGTCATAATCTACTATGATTCCTGAGTGTCACTTCCTTCAAAAATAAAATGGAACGTTGCACCGCGTTTATTGTTAGCTTTGATCCGTGGAGTTCCTGCTAAGTCTAGATCCGTGATGGCGAACCTATGGCACGCGTGCCAAAGGTGGCACACAAAGCCCTCTCTGTGGGCACGTGTGCCGTTTCCAGCTGGTTTTCATGGGTGCCGCAGCCCCAAAAAACGCCCTGAAAATAGCCCGAAAAACGCCCTGAAAACACCCAAAAACACCCAAAACACATGAAAACAGCCAAAAACAGGCATGTGCATGCTGGCCAGCTGTCTTCAGGCTTCTAGTGCTCTAGGGCACGCGAAGACCAGCTGGCTGGCACGTGCATGCACGCAAATTCCAGTTTGGTCACTCAGTGCCGAAAAGGTTCGCCATCACTGTTCTAGATGGTTACCCTGCACTTAACCTCGCATCCAAAACGGGATGCGTGGAGACTCCTGGGAGGGGCAGGGCAGGGTGGGCGTGGCCAGCCAGTCCTTGCAACTACCGGTTCTGTGAACTAGATGTAAAATTAGCATCCGGTTCGCCTGAACCGGTCTGTTGTGATCTGCCAGCAGCCTGCGGAGCTGACAGTGGAGTCGAACAGCGATGAGGCTGAGGAAGAACAGGGGCCAGTCCTGGAGGCTGGGGAAGGCCCGGATGAGGGCTCTGCGTCGGAGGCAGAGATGGGGCCAGGGCCATCTGGGAGTGATGTGCGGACTCCGGAGCCTTCAGAGTCGGACATCAGAGAGGCAGAGGAACAGGAGGAGCCTGTTCCTAATGCACGCATGAGAAGAGCTGCCAGAAGGCAAGAGCAGCTCAAGCAAAGAGGACAACTCGGGAGTAGGGCCAAGAGATGATTGGCCCCTCCCATAAGGCTTAAAACAGACCAGCAATGGCGTTTGGGCTTTGCCAGAAAACAACGTTGGTAGCTTCATCGTCTTCTTCGTCTACGTCTTGTATTTATTTTTGTATCTGTGATTTCTGAACGTTTGCCAAGAAAGGCCTTTGGCAGTTTGCCTAATTGGACCAAGGTTTGCGATAGGACTGAGGAATTTGTGTTGGGAGGAATTTGCTTTAATTTAGTTGAACGACGCTGGGGATGAAGTCGTTCTCAGCTGTTCGAATAAAGTTTGTTTGTTTTTTCACTGACTGATTTTCCTACTACTTACATGGGCCTGGGTCACAACACGATCCGAACCGGCTGAATCCCATCCCTGTTACTAACCATCGTGAGAAGAATGCATTGAAAGGGAATTTATACTACAAGGTAAACCTCGACTTACAACAGTTTGTTCAGTGACCATTGCAACAGCACTGAAAAAAGTGACTTAGAGCTGGCATTAAATATAATCAGGGGGAAAAAAATTACACCCGTTTCAACAATGACACTGAAGCTGAGATAAATAAAAGTTAGGACTTTATCTTATATTAATCCATATCTGGCATCCTTAATTATATGATCGTGAATGTGAATTGCTGCCTGGCAAAATCGAGCGATGTGTATGCAGTAAATGGTTCTTGATCGGAGAGAAGAAATAAATAGTGAAGATTTAAATTCTATGCGCTGGTGTTGCAAGAAGCCATCTCCTGAAGTTACCAGGTGATTCAGCAATATAAGTCTAGACAGGTGCATTACCTTAACAAATCATTGACTTAGCCATAGGTAAATATTGCAAGCTCCAGTATCAACATGATTAACTAGGGGGCATGTTATACCTTGCCCGTTGCTATGATTCTCTGATGATTTAATCATGTTCCATGTTTAGTCACTGGGCGCGCACATCATGTACGCATCGGACTAATTGCTTTCTGTGGCTTGGCCTTGTGTGCATTGTGTGCGAACCTGACATTTTTTTAAAGTTTAGGAACCAGTATATTGTATGAGCTCAGAAAACAAATTAACTCAGTTACTTGGCTGCCAGCGTGTGGTGAAATCCAGTTTTTTTTACTACCAGTTCTGTGAGCATGGCTTGGTGGGCGTGGCAGGGGAAGGATACTGCAAAATCCCCATTCCCTCCCCACTCCTGGGGAAGGATATTGCAAAATCTCCATTCCCATCCCACTCTGGGGCCAGCTGGAGGTAGTATTGCCAGTTCTCTGAACTGCTCAAAATTTCTGCTACTGGTTCTACAGAACCTGTCAGAACCTGCTGGATTTCACCCCTGGTAAACACGGGTAGTGTAAACCCAGAAAATGGAGTCACTTCAGTAAACCATTATTCGATTGTAGGAGGTCAACACAAACCAGCGGTGGGTTTCTACCAGTTCGCCCCAGTTCCTGTGAACTGGTAGCGGCGACAGCAAGCTCCGCCCACCCACCTGGACATCATCACGGACAGTCTGCGCATGTGCAGAAGCGTTGCGCGCATGGTCCCAGTTGCGAACCAGTAGCGAAGGTAAGTGGAACCCACTCCTGCCATAAACCATCATCATGTTAACTTGGTTTCTGTTTCATGTGAGACACGAGCCCAGGAACTGTGGTTTGCCCATGACCGCACAATCCATGGGCTGAACAATGGGTGAACCCAAGTGGATTGCAAAAATTAAAGCAGATAACGGGATGAGCCATGTTGGGCTCCTGGGTTGAATCCTCCCTCCGACATTACCTGTAGCCTGACGTTGAATATCATGGAAGTGACCAGATACAGGTAGGAGAAGTTGATGTGGAATTTCCAGGCCAGTTCAAAGAAGACGAGGAGAGTCCGTGTCAATCCTTTACAGAAGATCCCATAGGAACGTCCGGTCACCAACTGGGGGAGCCGGGCAACCAAAATAGATAGAAGCAGACTTGCCACCTTCATTGTTGTCCCGCCAAGTCACGTCGTACAGGCTCCGCCTCCTACCTGCACAAAGATCTGAAAGTCCACAGATCAAAGCAACACAGCCAAAGAGATGACAGCCGGGATGCTATCTTGCTGTTGATGATGATGATGATGTGACATTCCTATGTCACAATGCGCTGCTCCGCCTCGACCAATCCGATCTTTCTATCACAATAGTCTCCTCCCATCCAGTTCATGGTTCAAAAGGCAAAGAAGGAAAAGCTGAGGATGAGTTACACTGGCTACCAAGAAGTGGAAGTTGATGGACAATTGGCAGAAAAAAGATCATGTGATTTTTAGAATTCACCATATTCCAGGCAGAAAGAACCAATGTTAATCAGATGAACGTTCTGGATTTCTCTTCTTTCAAGAGAGTTGAAATCAACAGAAGGGAGAACATGACTATGTAATTTTAGAAGTTGCCATATTTCAATCAATCAATCAGAATAGACCTTGGAGGTCTTCTAATAACCCACTGCTCTAGCAGGAGACCCCATCACATTTAAGACAAATGGCTGTCCAGTCTCTTCATAAAAACCACCAGTGATGAAGCACCTACAACTTCTGAAGGCAACCTCTGTTCCTCTGGTCCTCACTGTTTGTCCTCACTGTTAGGAAGTTTCTCCTTAATTCCAGGTTGCTTCTCTCCTCGATCAGTTTCAATCCATTGTTTCTTGTCTTGCCTTCTGGTAGTTTGGAAAATGGAGAACTGATGTTAGCCAGATGAATATTTTGGATTTCAAGAGAGTTGACCTCAACAAGCAACTGGGGAAAAGTAGAAAGATTCCATAGCTGGAGATCTTGAAGAGAGAAACAGTTGAGGAGGATTGGATGTTCTGAAAAATGAAAGGATTAAGGCAGTTGAACCTCAAAATGAGTTGAACCTTGCAAGAAATATGAAGAATCACTCCAAAAGGCTTGTGCAGAAGGAAAAGGAAATATGCAAAACAGTTGGTCAACTGGTTGAGAAGTTGGCAAGGAGAAAACAGGGAACAAAGCTGAAAGGCTTAATTCCCTTTTTGCATCTGTCTTTTGGTCAACTTTGTTAGAACTTTCACCAAGGAGAGAAGAAGACAGAAGAGAAATGTATGTCAACATAGGCAGGGAAGTGATGAAAGAAAACCAAGCGTCTTTGAATGAAGGGAGGTGGATCCAATCTCAAGAGGCTAAAGGATTTGGCAGACGTGATCTCACAATCTCTGACTGTAATCTTAGGGAATTCCTGGCTGGAACTGAGAACCGCCAGAAAGTTTGAGAAGAATTAATATATTTCCAGTTTTTCTTTTTTAAAAAAAAAAGTAGAATGGGGGTCCCTACAGAGACCTCAATCCTTGGGAAAGTTCTAGAAAAAGTGATCAAGCAGAAAGTTTACAAATAATAGTGGGATTCAGCCGGTTCACACGAACCGGTAGTTAAATTGCTGGCTGGCCCCTCCCCTCCCCACCCCTTCCATGAGTCCACATGCACCCCATTTTGGCTCCCAAGTAAGTGCAGGGAGGCCTATTAGGGCCAAAATGGGGCGCGGGTGGGGTGAACCGTGCCCCCCCGGGGCCATTTTCGCTCCCATGAGGCTTCAGGGAGGCCGCCTCGGCCCAAAATGGGGGGCAGTGGGGTGGAGGCCAAGTGCTGCCTGTCACACCCCTTGGCCACGCCCACCATGGCCACGCCCACCCACCCAGTCATTAAGGCAGAAAACCCTAAATTATTAAATTATTAAATTATTAAATTAGTTAAATTATTTGAATCCCACCACTGTTTACAAGCCCAAAGAAAGGAAGCAGGGGAATCACCCAGACCCGGAATGAATTTAATTAGATTAAATGATAATAGCAGGGGAAAAAAAACAGAAGCATAGGTCTGTTAAATATTTACAAAAACGTTTAACGTAAAACCTGTAAACCTCAGCGTCAATTATAACTTCAATTTCTCTTGTTTTTAAAATGTAAACGTAGACCTTTCAAGAGGTGAGGTGAAAGTTGAAAATTATTCTCTCCCCTTTCGCGTTCTGCGACATGCGTCATTTTTTTCCAGAATTACATCAGTGGGATTACTCCGGCGGCCACACCCATATACATTAATCATGCCTTTTGTTGCCATGCTAAAAAATCCCCTACGCAACAGCTCCAGCTGTATTTTAAAACGGATTTCCTTTTTTTTCTAAGAAAGAACGAGCTGTGCTTCCTTCAGAGAGGTTTGAATTGAGGAAATAACATTACCAGACTTACAATATGGACCAACTTTATGGGAAAAGAAGTGTTTTCTCCCCCTAATAAAGGATGATTGAGACATTCAGTTTCGTTTACATAAGTTTGGGTGGTTTTTTTTGTTATCGTCTGACCATCTGATGTAAAACAATGAAAACGTGATTTAAGTTACGGGAAGGATTTCACCTCGGAGTCCAAAGATACGGAAATATAAATATAAGTGCATAAACTGTTCCAGTTTCACATTCAGCTATAACTTGGCTGGTTTATTAGTTATTTATTAATCAGATTTGTAGAGATGCTCATCTCATCAAAAGCGACTCTGGGCAGTATATGGCAAGCGGGGAAAAAACACATATGAAAATCACATTAAAAGATCAAGATGATAGAAACAGAAGAGAAGAGAAGGGGAGGAAGGAAGGGGATTATGAAGCTCCCACAACTTCTGAAGACAACTTCTGTTCCACTGGTTCATTGTTCTCACTGTCATAAAATTTCTCCTCATTTCCAGGTTGAGTCTCTCCTTGATCAGTTTCCATCCATTGTTCCTCGTCTGACCTTCAGGTGCTTTGGAAAATAGCTTGACCCCCTTCCTCCTCTCTGTGGCAGCCCCTCAAATACTGGAAGATTGCTATCATGTCTCCCCTGCTCCTTCTCTTCACTAGACTAGCCAGGCCCAGTTCCTGCAACCGTTCTTCGTATGTTTTAGTCTCCATTCCCCTATTCGTTGAACATGGCTTGCAAACGCCAATCAGACACATGAGGCTTAAATCTCTTTAAAAGTTTTATTCTCCTTGTGAGGTTTTAGTACAAAACAAATGCAGGGATTTGTTCTAGGCAATGGGTTTCAAAGGGATGCTACCCGTGTTTTCCCGAAAATAAGACCCTGTCTTATATTTTTTTGAACCCTGAAATAAGCGCTTGGCCTTATTTTCGGGGAGGGCTTATTATCAGGGGATGTCTTATTTTTGGGGAAACACTTTAAAAAAATAATGGGATTGTATCATTTCATTGGCAAATGCCGTTAAAGACACACCCCAAGTGTAAATACTATTAATAGAAAAAGTGGGCACATAAGGTGGTCATTGTTGCTAGAGAAATAATGTGGGGTTTGTGGGGCTGTCTGAGCCTGGTGGTTTTCTTGCAGATGTTTCTCTACCAAACTAGGTAACATCAGTGCTAGAGGAGGAGGAAGGAGGAGGAGAAGAAGGAGAAGGAGAAGAAGAAGAAGAAGAAGAAGAAGAAGAAGAAGAAGAAGAAGAAGAAGAAGAAGAAGAAGAAGAAGAAGAAGAAGAAGAAGAAGAAGAAGAAGAAGAAAACTATGCTGTCCTTGGTGCTGAGTTTGGTGGCATTCCTGCAGACATTTTATTACCATACTAGGTAACATCATCAGTGCTAGAAGGAAGTGGGGTTTTGCAGAGAGGAGGAGGATGAGGAGAATTATGGGATCCTTGGTGCTGAGCCTGGTGTTTTTTCTTGCATACATTTCAATACCAAACTTGGAAGCGGCATCACGTTATCCACTTAACACCAAGGTTCGTAAACTCTGCGTCCCCTTAGTGTGCCTTAGTTCAAAACCTGGGTTTCAACTTCAACCCCAATTCCAGAAATTCATTTTCCGTAGCTTGCTTTGTCACAGGAAAAAGTAACCGTTGCAATGGCTATTCCCCTAGAGCAGGGGGTTGGACTAGATGACCTCCAAGGTCCCCTTCCCACGCTACTGTTACTGAACTCCTCCGCCCGCCGGGGTGAAGAGAGAGGAGAAGTAAATAAAGATCAAACAAAAGGTTGAGCGAGATAACCAACCGCCCTTCTTTTCTCCCGCCTTTTTTTCCCTTACTTTTCATAACTCTGGCACGGAAAGACCGCCAACGTGGCGCCCCCGTGCGACCAAAAGAACCCGAAGCCTTCCCATTAGCGGGAAAAGGAAAAGGCGTCGCCGCGGCGCGAAGATCGACGGATGGAACCGAAGAGCCGAAAGCCGAGGAGAAGCGTTCCAACCCGAGTCTTCCCGAACCTCTTCGTTCTTCAGGGGGGGGGCCGGGCGTGGCCGAAGAGGGCGTCGGAAGCTCCCGAAGCGCCTCGACTCCGCCCCCTCTCTCTCGGGCGTTCGAAAGCCTTCCGGAAGAAGGCGGGGCCGAGAGGAGGGGGGGGGTGAGGAGGAGGTAGGAGGGGCGGTCGCGCGCTCGCTCGCTCGCTCGCTCGCTGGCGGCCGGAAGTGAGCGGAGCGGCCGCTTCCGGTTTCCTCCGCGCTCGCCTCAGTCGCCCGCCCCGCGCTTTGGGTGGTGGCCGTTGCCTCCTCAGCTCCCGCCGCCGCTGCTTCTCCTCAGCCGGGCCTTCCTTGCGGTTCCTTTTTTCCAGGGGAAAGCGGCGCTAAACCCCGAAGGCCGAGAGACAGCCGAGGCCGCTGAGGGGGCCTTTTCCTTTTCTCTCCTCGCACCCGACCCGAGCAGCCGCCCCGATGCAGGCCATCAAGTGTGTGGTGGTGGGCGACGGGTGAGTCCTGCCGAAGCCCCCCCCCTTCACCATCTCCCCCCCCCCCCCCCCCCCCCCCTCACGGAGCTGAGGCTGCGCCTCATGGGAGTCGGAGTCCAGCCTGTCAGGAGTGGGGGTGGGGGTGGGGGGGTGAGGAGAATCCAAGCCCCAGGCCTGAATGTGGACCCTGACAGGAATGGGGGTGTGGGTGTGTGTGTGAGGGGGTGTTTCTCCTCTCTCAAGAGAGGTGAGGATGGAATATTATCCTTTTTCCCCAAAGAGGAAAATATGGGCTTTAAAAGGGGCGGGGGGTAGGTGGGGGGTGTTTAAGTGGGCTGGGGAGCCACCATGGAGGGCAGAAATCTTTAATCTTCCCAGGAGGGGTGGGTGGGTGGGTATGGTTTTGTGTAGGGTAGTCTTTATTTTAAGTCGATTTTAGGTCTGGGAGTGCATGGGGATTCTTCCATCGTCCAAGTCATGGTTGTCCCAAAAGTGTTTTTTTTTCTTGTTCTTTTCTCTTTCCTTTTCTTTTTTCTCTTCTTTTCTTTCCTCTCCTCTCCTCCCCTTTCCTTTTTTCTCTTTTCTTTCCCTCCCTTCCCCCCTTTCCTTTCCTTTTTTCTCTTCTTTCCTCTCCTTTC